ACCTGTGGATGATCCTAAAAGACCAAGTCTGAAGAGACAGTCCCCAGGCAGAGTAGGCCTTATATTTATACCTCTGTGGTGGAACCTGCTATAACATCTTGCTTACTCAGCCTAGTCAGGTGATCAGGTCATATGACCAAGGATGAGGTCATATGAGGTCATGCACAGCCATGCACAGCAGGTCACCTGACCATCCAATCCTTCTAGCAGGTTCCAGCACATGCTAAGGTATACCAGCTACTTCCATGTCATAAAGGCTTAGTCATGTCTCTTGACCAAGCAATGAGCTGGTGCCCTGACAGTTATGCACTATGGAGTGCCAAGTGAAATCCTCACAGAACCATGGAAAGAACTTCCTTGCTCCAGTTGTGTCTGAATTCCTGAAGATTGCAAAGATCAGATGGTTGACTACTTCAGGATATCATCCATGTACCAAGGGGAAAACAGAGCAGTACAATGGGATCCTTGAGTTGTATCTCAAGAAGATGAATACCACAGGAGATCCAACTCGATGGAATGAATTTCTTGATACTGCACTATTTGTAACTCAAGTCAAACAGCAAACCACAGCCAAGTGGTCACCATTTGAGTTGTTGTATGGTTGAAAGCCTCAGTTGCCATTTGACCAGCCACTTCTCTGTGCCCCAGATGCTGCACTCCCAGGGGATGCAGAGCACTCAGAACAGCACTTGCAAATGCAGAAGGCTTGAGAAGAAGCTTTGGAGCAAGGCACTATCTGTGCACTTGCAGACAAAGAGCAGTGGGATCACCAACTCAATATCAGGATGGAAGGTACACAGCAGCCTTTTGAGGTTGGTCAAAAGGTGCTGCTCCAGAATGAAACTGCAAACAAGGGTGATGCACATTGGTTCGGACCATTTGTGATCACTACAAAACTGGATAAGGGAACCTATCAACTGAAGGATAGATGTGGACACTTACCACCAGGCTTGGTGAATGGAAACTGTCTTCAACTTGCTCATCTCCAAGAAGATGGTACAAACCATTGGGCTTGGGTTTTGCCAAAGGCAACATAATGGCAGTGGTCGAAGGAAGACAAGGAAGCTGCTTCACAGGCTGTTGTCTGTGCCATGCCTTCAATATGAATTATCGGTTGCTTTGCCAATCCAAATACCAGATCTGCACCAGTGACAGTTGCAGAGGACAAATCACAGAATACACAGTGAACAGTTATGCCAAGATGGAGATCATGACCCATTGGTCAAGATCACAGAATTCCACAAACTGTTCCGGTGAAACAAAGGCCACAGACTCAATTCTAAACCAATAACACAAACAATACCCCAAGACTGCAGGTCTTGGGTTACAATCCTCCAGACAGAGGTCCGATTCCCTCAACCTGAAGCCCCAGAGCAACCCAAACAGTCACTTGCACAGATGTGCAACATTAGTAAATCCAATGCAAAAGGTGGTCCACTGATTGCATATGCATGTCCAGTCCTCCAGATGGAGGTCCAGAATGCAGTACACACCAGCCTTACCAGGACACACCAAAACTTGAAGCAATCCCAGCAGACAACAGACACAGTGCAGAGCCAGAAAGCAAATTCCATCTCAAAATCACAAAAACCCATCCATCCAGCCCAAGAACATCTCAGATCAGCCCAGAAACCAGCCAGAATCATCTCCAGGATGCCTCAGAATGGTTGACAGTAGTTGACAGTGAGAAAGGAGTGAAGCAAGGGGCTGGATGGCACAGATTGCCCTCCAGCAGCATCATGGTTGATGCTCAAGAGCTAGAGAGGGGATGGTGTCGAGTTTGTGCCAAGAGTGGCAGTTCAGGACCCTTGCGCAGCCTTAAGGCACCGGAATTTGATTCCATTAGACTATCTATGTAGCCTATATGTATATAGGGACAGATTGGCCTGCTGCAGGCCAATCCATGCCACATTATCTATTCTCCCCTAATTGACAACTCAACAGACCTGAGTGTATGGTGGACACATTCATGGACAGCTTATTAGGGGTCCTTCAAAATGTTCAAAATGCTGTGCACAATTAATGTGAAACACCGTGTTTGCATCTGCAGATGCTAATATATTCCTGTGGGAATGAATGGAAGAAAAATAAACTCAGTGGAGGAGAGCAAGAACCTCCATGGAGGTGAATCAAAGCAAAGCAAAAAAGTGGAGGCAAAAATTCTGCACACAGGAGTACCTATCTGCTTCCACCAAATGGAAGCAAAAGTATTTGCTCCCATAGCAAAGTACCTTGACTCAAATGCAAGGTAATTCCTCTGATGACCCCTTTTGGGGGTATCTTGCCTACAATGACCCCTCAGGCGCAAATTCCCTAAATGACCCCAACTGCTGCCCCTAAGTAACCAAATAAGGAAAGCAGTGGCTGTGGCAATAAAAGCACATGCCTCCGGTCAATCCAACAACATGTTTTTTTGAATGTTTTGCTATTAGAACAGACCTTTTTTAAAAGACAAGCTGGTTGGCATTGTGTATGGTATCTATTATTTTCAATAACTGCTGCAAAATTCATTGCCTTGCCATAAAAGTGCAGTGTTTCCTCACCTATGTTTATGATGGTGAAAATTGGTGAATTCTTATTAGAGGCATCCATGCAGAATTAATTTATATACTGTAACATAACTAATCAAAAAAAACAAAGCTTGCAAATTAATTGTCAGAACATGCCTTATAAACCAACACAAAGAGACCAGACCCTAGTGCATCTTGAATTGCTACCACCACCTTCCTTAATTGGAAGGTCCCTGGTAGCTTAGGGCAGGCCTTGGGTCATTTCAGGGATTTCCGCCCAAGGGGTCATCGGAGGAATTACCTCACTCAAATGCGGACCTTTTACCCCGCTCACAGCCACAAACCTTTTTTAAAAAAGACCACATCTGGCCTTTCGCACAGCTGGACCCCTAACACCGTAGCTGTCCCCGAACGTCCACCAAATGAGTGTGATGGATGTCTCATCATACGTCAATAACATGGGCACAATTGAGCCCGGCGGAAAACAAATCTCGGATCACACACGCGTGTGATTCCCCCTCAAACTCTGTTTGCACACAACTGGACGCGCGGCGCTTGATATGCAAGTTGGAGGATACAACGTGACCTTAAACTCAGGTACTTCTGATACCACAAACCTTATCGAATATCAGGTCGAGAGCCATCCAGAGGCCAGGCTCGCAACATGCTGGATTGAGAGTGTAGAAGGGCAGGTGTGTTGGAAAGTTGATGGACTCTCTTATCAGTAATCACTAACTTTGATCATGCAAGCCATTCGAGGTTTTATGCAACTTCCCCCCGAATCATGAAACTATTTTCCTGGTCATGTGGTTTGACTGTATCCCTGTGTGTTCGACCCGCGTGGAAAAAGTCGAAACGAGCTTCCTCTGCAACGCGATCTTCACCGAGGACAGTCATCCGGCATATTTTCATTTCTTTTATGACTGGACTCCCTTCGAGGGTAGGTCCGAAGTCATGGATGGTGGTTGATCTTCTTACTTGTTGGCAACATGTAGATTCCGATGATGAGCAAGATGAGCAAAATAGTCTTGAGTGGAAACATCGTGGATCGATCAAAGTGGAATTGTACTGGGAATGCGACATTCAGACGGACTCTGCAATTGGTGATGACCTAGTACTACACAATTTGGATTCAGTGGAGTGAGTCGGTATTCAAGTCGAACGGACCTTTCATCCTGATCCTATGGAGGTTGTCCACGTGTCACGTCCCAGAGCCTTCACAACAGCCTGCATCGGCGACGGAGGTTACAGTGTACGAAGGATGTGGACCGTTCTCAACTTTTATTTTCAAGCATCGACCACGACGTATGAAAGACACTTTCCTGATTACCCATTCCTTAGAGCTGATTATGCGACAGGATTCCTGGAGGACTACGGCTTTATCGGTAATATATATGTGCTATGACGTGGGTTGCAACTGATTTGCAAATACAGATCATCCCCGGAATTTTTATTCGTTTGGAAGAACTCTCGAGTGCTCATCTTGGTCAAGGGTTGCAGGGAACCTAGGCAATTTGTCGCTGAGAGGAGATTAGGATCCTGTGTGCTTCTCATACATAGAACAAGTCCAGTGCCGGACTATGTGTTTTCTCCCCCTTGTTGATTAAGTGTGCATGGTCGACAATACGATAGTCATTATACAAGCAGGATTTTTTCGCCTACACAACGGAATCAATGGAGAAGGACAGAAGGAAGAAGTTACCAGATGATTCACGTCATGCCGAGTTCCCTGCCAGCACAGCATCAACACTGTGAAAATACACGTGGCCTCCAGACCACCCACCTCGCGGCACTACTTTGATTTGATTCGTTATTCCATTGGTTTTAAACAAAAGAAAAACGCAATGAGGCTTGGGCCAAACTATCAGGTCGATCTTCTCATCGGAGCTGGATGGCTTCTCGAATATGACACACACCTGTTGTACGAGGTCCAGACAGTTGAGTGCTATGTGTGCAGTGAGACCAACGAGGTAGAGACATCGTTGCAGCATAATAGCACACTCTGACCTTGAATCAGGCCTTTTCACTTCGGTTTTACAATACGACCTGTGAAGATCTTCATCTACGGCTCTATATGGATGGTGTCCGTCTTGGTGCATGGACTACCTCATCCTCACCCTGTGTCAAGCTTTCGGGCATTCGCATTTCTGCGACGGAAAAGAGGCAATTCTTCTTTTCCTCCCGTTCTTGGGAGCCGCCCGAAGGTGGTTTACGTACTTAGTATTAATTGTCATACTGACCTGATTGTAGATGCAGAGGGTTCAGAATCTTTGGACGCAAATGAGCGAAACAGACAGAATAATCGAGGCAGCATCAGGCTAGAAGTATATAAAATCAAAGCCGTATATGCCGATATCACCGATGCAGACAACGTTTACCATAAGGGCCCAGAAGAACTTGAGACAGTTCGGTGTGTTCCCCTCCTTATATGGTAGAATTCACACTCACAGATGAAAAGGTTTGAAGTCAAGAAAGAGACACAAAGTAACAAGCGAGCGGTACGCGACTTTCAATGGGATGAAATCTCTGGCAAGCATCCTATTGCAACCTTCATATTCAGGCATCGTCCCCAAGGTCCGTTGAGCTTGTGTCCTTTAAGTGCATGCAAATTAAATGCATGGCTTTGATTGTAGCTTGGCTTCAATCCTATGGTATAATCAGTACGTAAAACATGCAAACAAACAAGACAACTTATTAATGGCCCACTAGGAACAGCAGGTTCAAGTTTTGATTTAGATCTATCTGCCATGTCTATGTCGAACAACACGTCTGGCAGTATTGTCAATGAGATGAAGCGACTGCAGCTGGCCGATGAAAGTCGGAAGCAACGAAGAGAGAGGATGGCCATTGAACACTCAGTCTGATGGTCTTCCATGCGGGGAAGGTACCGGTAGGCACGAAGATTGCATATGCTGTGAGCGTTCATTCCCTTAATAGTAGTCCGAATTATAACATCTAGCAGGCGCTTCCGGAGTTCCAGAGTCGTCCGGCAAACCATCAACTTTGCATCTTCGACCCAAATTCACCGGTCCATCTGTTATTCAATGGGCAAACCCCCTTGTCACTCACAACCGACCTCGGGGTTTCATGGATCAACATGTTGACGTGTACTTCTCTCGACCCATGCGGTTCAGGAGGCATGTGCTAGAGGACGTCATTGACCAACCTCATCGTGATTGAACTCGAATCTATGCCAAATCTTCAGTAAGTCTCAGCAGGAAATCTAGTGGTGGAGATTGACCAATGTGGGTCAGATCATGCCAGATCGCCCTCGTTAACACTGTGTTCCTCCTGTCCAAACGGCGACATGTTGAGGATGTCCATTCATCTGTTTTCTCTCCACCCTTCTTTGCCCTTGCTGATTTCTTCTCGCTGCGTATGAGTTGGAAGAACATGAAGGAGCGGCTATCTATAGGTGGCACTGCGCCTATATTCCATCACAGGCTGTTCGACAAACAGGCATTCCTCTCTGCTGATACCCAAGGAACCCAAACAGCGGGAGGCAATCAGCTTTCTCGGCCCCGAACAAGTAACCGCCTTATCAGGACCACCTTGCCGACCGCCGCGCATGAGTTGTCCTCGAGTCCTATTCTGGATGAGCGCCTGCCTGCGTATCTATCACGCAAGCGTCCGTTGGGCATTCTTGAACAGGTTACCCAAGTTCCCCCATTTGGATTCCCTATGACTGGTTATTCGTGGGTCAAAGCTTCTCTGCAATCATGTCAACACCAGCGATAAAAAAACAAACCTTCTAATGGTGCGACAACAAGCGCCCTGTCCCTTGATGCCCTTTGTTCCCGCTGTCTTTTATGCCATTTTCGCAGCATTCCCCTTTGTTTATGTAATGACACTGCCATCATTCACTATCTTAGGCAGGACGCCAGTTTCCGTCAATGCTCACGCGTTGCAGCCCAATAAGGCTGGCCGAACTCGCCTTTCCACGTTTTCTTCCAAAGCCCCGACACCCTCAAAATGGTCGTTATCTGTCTCAGTATATAAATTAGCTCTCTGAAACTTTGGAAGACAGTCTTTGTCACACAATGGCACCTCAGATTTGGTTTAGTGAGCACCTTCTGTCTTCCACCGCTGTCCTGACTGCTCACGCACAACGTAGTAACTGGCACCTCCACCGGGTTCGGTCGCATCATGACGGAGCATGTGCTGAAGAATGGCGGCATTGTCGTCGCAACCCTTCGGAAGCCAGAGATGCTCGCTGATCTAACTCGCCAATACGACAAAACTCGTCTCCTCGTCTTGAAGCTGGATGTTACACTGTCTTCCGAGATCCCTCCAGCATTCCAGAAAGCAATTGATGCATTTGACCGCATTGACGTGGTGTTCAACAACGCTGGCTTTACTCTCATCGGCGAGAGCGAAAATACGCCTGAGAATGAGGCTCGGAATATGTTCGAGACGAATTACTGGGGCGCGGTCAACATTAGCCGCGAAGCGATCCGCGTCTTCCGAGATATCAATCCTCCCGGGGCTGGAGAACGTCTCTTGCAGAATTCGTCTATCGCAGGTTTGGGCCCACTGGTTCTCTTCGGGCACTACACGGCATCGTAAGCCCTTTCATGATGTCAAGGGCTCTCTCCCTCAACAAAAACAGAAAGCACGCCCTCGAGGGATTCTCAAAGACCCTGGCCACGGAACTCAATCCATCTTGGAATATTAAGGTGCGTTGGACGGATCCAACATATACCACATGGCACCGACATGACTGCATATATCACCTTGATCGAACCCGGTTTCTTCCAAACCCAAATCATCCAACAGGCGACGATTCTACCTGGTCATCAAAACTATGACAATGAAACGACGGCCTCGCTCCGCAGCGCATTGGCGATTGGAGAGTGTCCTGGCGACATTGATAAAGGCGTCGCGATTATCTATGATGTCGCCCAACTCTCGAATCCCCCACTCCATTTTCCGCTGGGCCTGGATGGTGTAAAGGTTATGAGGACAGCCGGCGCACTCTTGGCAGAGACGGCGACACAGTATGGTCAGATGTCCGAGGGCCTGTTGAGGGACACTATGGGAGAAGCTGCTCATGTCATTAAAATGCCTTCCAGTAGGATAGCGGTCAGGTCCCGCTAGTTGAACTGCAGTAATAGTTGACTCATGCCAGTCCCGTCATTGTGAGACAAGTCCTTGGATCGGAGAATATTTTCCTCCATTGTGGCTCGCGGAGCCAAGGCAATTCCCATGGCCAATACCGAAACGAGTTCACTAACATTCTGATGTGTCAGAGGCGGATATTCCTGTCGTCCGTCGGATTGATATGACGCTGCATAGTAAGGCATGCAATAAATGCCGCAAAAAGGAAGAGCTTATCCCGGGAATTGAAGAGACCCGGGAGGAGGAACAGCGTCACACAGGGCGCGGACGACCCAAAAGACGATTGCTTGTTTCTTTGCGCTAGAACGAAAGTACAAGAAATCACCATGGCCTTAGATGTTCCCCTGGAAGTAAACGTCGCAACCAAGCTCGATATTGCCCTCGCGCGTGAAGGAGATGATATGACAACCAAGAGTGCGAGTGGAAAATCCTGCCTCACAGTAGGAGCTGGGACAACTATGATGAGAATGACGGATCGGAGGAGATGATGGTTGCGCACAAATAGTAGTTCCACTTCCTCTGAAAGCTGTCACATTCAGCCCGTCCTACACCGTACTGCTGCCGTAGTTCCGATATAACAACACTCTCGAAGCTAGTCAAGAACCGTTGGCGCCATTCACGAAGGGTTCTTGAGTAATGAGGACCGATATTGCCTACGGACTCGACAACGAGGCGACCGTGGCTGCCGGAGTTGAGAGTGGTTAAGAGCTGACTGGCCGAGGGCACGAAAGCGCCCGGAAATATCCATTTTTGAATGAAGTCAATGTCCTTCGAATACGCTTTGATACCTGGAGAACATGAGTTTCAGATCCGCTCCAGACAAACATCAAAGGAACGCACGAGCATCGGGAATGGTCGATACCTGGACAACACCGGCTCCATTTTTCTTCAACACTCGGTCGACCATACCCCAATACGTGTCCATATATTCGGCTCCAACATGCTCCATCATTTCGATTGATACGAAGCGGTCGAATTGATGTCCCCATTCGGAAGGAATATTGCGATAATCCATAACGTGGACGCGAACCCGTTCTTCTAGACCTGCTCGTGCAATGCGTTCTCGGGCGAGCGCGGCTTGCTGTTCTGAGAGGGTTACAGTGTCGATGGTGCATTGTGAAAGGGTTGCAGCAAGAATAGAGAACGACCCCCATCCAGTCCCGATCTCAAGGATCCTGTGTCCATCTCGAATATCGGCCTTATTGTATATGTGTCTGGAAAAGGAAAATGAGCTTTGAAACTGATATAACGGAACTAGTTTACATACCTGAGCTTGCGCAGCTGGGCTCGTTCCAGGGGGTCAAGACCGAGCAATTCTTCGCCCTTTCGGCACTCCATCAAGTCTTCGTCTATCGACTCAAAGAAACCACAGGAATATGTCATGTCTCTGCTGAGGAACGCTTCAAACATACGGTTAGACATGTCATAATGCGCCGAGACATTGGCTTTCGCATTGTCGAGCGTCGCCAATGATGCCGTGAGGTCGAGCAGCTTGCGAGAACCGAAGGTGGGGATGTAGGAAAGATATGACTTGAATGAAGATACGGATGCAAGCGAGTCTCGATTGTAGATAATTAACTGCGACAATGTGAAGGAATGCTGTTTGCCGAAGATAAATCAGTGACGCACCATGAAAAGCGACGTCAAGTCGTCTACGTCTATTTCACCCATCATGTATGCTTCTGCGAAGCCAAGGTCGGACGTAATGAGCACACGAAGCCAGAACACCTCATTGCGTACGGTAATCGTAGCTCGAATGTCTGAGGCATTGCCAACGACATCGTTGACACCGAGATGAATCTTCCCTTTCACTTCTTCGGTAGGAAAGTTGTAGACATTTGCAGGTGTGATAATTCGTAGTTGACCACGAGTGATACTTCCTAGAAACCTGCATCGCGTGAATACTTGGATCAACAAGTAGGAGAGTGTACGTACCCAACCACCAGCGTTTCTGCTAGCGAGCTAAGAGGTTGCATCGCACCTCTGATGGCCCAACGCCAAAGCGATTCTGAAGAGACGGTTTCGTGGAGTGAGTGAGAAGTAATGATATCAACAGTTGATGCCATTGTGGTAATTCAGCGACAAGGATGTGGAAAGGCCCGACAATGGGGTGCGCTGATATTTTTATACATACGTTCCCCTTCACCCTACAGGTCTCGGTGAGTATTGAGCCGTCAGCAAGAGGGTTGACCGGGAATCAATGGCAAACAACTCGGGGAGTGTCATCGATTCGACACATGCTTGTAAGAAGAATTTTGATGGCAGCAGGGCCGCCATCAGGCCAACCGGGCATAGAAGGCGGGTTGAGCTTACTAGCCCGCATGTGTGTTTGCGAAGGATGCCGTAGTGGAGATGAATTAGCTGATCCCGTTGTGCGTTTCCATATCATTCTGATATAAACATTTCAACATTCCAACAGGTGGTGATCGTGTGATCGTTGCTCGAGGAAATATCCAGCATCGCTGGATGGTTCAAGTCCGCGGCCTTTTTCGAAGCCCATCGAAGCCCACATCGTCATCTCAGCAGGGCCAAAAGAGGTCTGTCGAGACTTTACCACCAACTTCAGAAGCATTCAAAGGGGGGATGTAGAACGCGAACTCACTGAAATATAACAACGATCTTGCGGACGAGGCAACCCCATTTCGGCAAATAAGAAGGTGATCCATTGACCGGCAGAGCAGGACGGATAGAGTCCAGACACGAACAATTGACACGCAAGAACCCGCTTTTCCAAATGGCGGTACTCGTCGTTCGCCATTCGAACTCGGAGTGGAGGGTTCGTCAATCACATGAAACAACCCTGTCACGCGTTGCTTAATCAGGACACCTCTTCGATTTTAGCGAGCACAATGTGGAGAGACCCATCTCTGGCAGGGCAATAAATTCCTCCAATGGCATCGACGGTTTTACTGTAGTGCCAAAATCTGCGTACTTTCGACGCTCCACGAGCTCCTTTTTGTGGCAGCCGGCACCAAGATGCATGGAAATAGTGATTACAAGAAATAAAGGAGCTGAGGCGTGACAAGAACTTGGCGGAGACAAGCAAAGAGGGTGATCGGATGTATGGAAGACCGTTGCAGACCATTGATGTGCGAATATACTAGTTACATAACCAATCACGTTCCTCTTCTTTTGATCTGATGGTTCACGAAATCGACTTGTAATTAGAACCCCGCTTTGTTTCCGCATCCCACTAAGAGCACACAATTTTCTACTGGAGATCAAGATCCCCACCAACAAAACTTGGAAATGATTCGATAACTGCCAGTGGTCGTTCCTCTGAAGCACACCTCCCAGCCATGCCATTCCCGCGGAAACTCCCTGTGTCCATTACAAGAGCAAGCGGTCGCCTGTTGACTTCGCCGATGCCAGCGAGGTGGAGCTAACTCGCTGTCCACAATGGCATTACCGCCAGATAACTCGATATATGAGATCGACGAACGGAAGGGTTGTTCTGCAGTTTATGCCACACAATGACACGGCAAATTTAGTTCAGTGAGTCCACTTTGTCTTCCGCTCCTCACCCAATTGCTCACACAACGCAGCACCCGGAGCTTCGACCGGTGTCGCTTGCGTAATGCGTAATGACCGGACACGTGTTGAAGAACGATGACATTGTCGTCGCGACCCTTCGAAATTCTGATATGCTGGCCGATCCAACTAGTCAACATGACAACAACCGTCTTCTGGTCTTGAAATTAGACGTTACTATCTCTTCCGAGATGCCGCTGGTTTTCCAGAAAGCAATCGATGCATTTGGTTGCATTGACGTGGTTTTTAACAACGCTGGCATTGGCCTCATTGGAGAAAACAAAATGCCCCCCGAGAGCGAGGCTCGAAGACTGTTTGAGACGAATTACTGGGGCGCGGTCAACGAGCTGTGAAGTCATCCGCGTCTTCCGAGACATTAACCCGCCTGGAGTTGGAGGGTGTCTCTCGCAGAATTCGTCTTTGGCAGGAGTTGCGCCCCTTAATCTCTGTGGTCACTATCTATACGGAATCGTAAGTAATTTTTTTGGCGTTAGGGGCCATTTCTCAACGTGAATAGCAAACACGCCTGGAGGGTTTCACGAAGATGTTGGCGATGGAACTCGATCCTGCCTGGAATATTAAGGCAAGTGCGACATGCCCCAGCTTGTAATTTTATTCATAAGATATCCAAGGTTACCCCGATTGAGCCCGGATTCTTTCAGACTCAAACATCCCAACAAGCTTCGAGTGCGCCTCATCACAATTATAACAACGAAACACTATCTGCCCTCCGCAATGCTCTGACCAATGCAGAGCGTCCCGGGAACACCAAGAAGGCGGTAGGTGTCATCTATGATGTCGTCCACCTCCTCGAACCGCCGCTCCACTTCTCTTTGAATGGACAGTGTTGACTGTATGAGAGAGTCTGGTTCGCTCCTCATCAACACCGTAACGCAACAGGGCAATATGTCACAGGGTCTCCTGAGGGAGACAATGGGAGATGCCGCCCGCGTCATTAAAGATGCCTTTCAGTAGCATAATTCAGGAGGGTCGTCAGGCTGTAATCGTTGCCAGGACGCCGCTTGTATTTACACTGTGCGAGATGGTTGTCGCTGGAGCTCTTAGGAGTTTTTTTTTCATCTCATCTCAAAAGTGCACGTGTGATGCGCCTAATTGGTTCCACCGGGAGGAGAACAGTCGGAGTGTCACTCCAAAAGGGGATGCCCTTCATTTCATGAGTACTTTTTGCATCCAACCAATCCCGTTTGTCTTATCAGGAGTAATTTCCTCCGATGCCCCCTCAATGCCCCTCCGGAGGCAATTGCCCCAAATGCCCACGTGCTGCGTATTTGCATGTCATCTTTGTGGCAGTGACAAGAAACTCATAAATGAGAGAGTTTAGGGGTCTTCCAGTAATATTTACATATGGTGTTATCAAGAAATTAGAATACAGTCAACTCTGTCTATGTGCATTCTGTGTCTGCACATTAGCTGTGTTAGAGCATAGGGGACGGGTTTCCGTCTCAGTTTGGTGTAATTTGGGGCCACTTGCATGTTGTATATGTGCATAGGTAAATAGAGGTGCTGACATAGCGTATGCAGATAGAGAGAGCATTGGTCAGGGCAGAATAGAATTTTTTCATCAAGCACTGTCCTCAAAACTCAACCATGTTTAAGAAGAGAGATCAGCTCACCAATCAGCAGTGCATCAAGATACTTGATTATTGTGACAAGCACCTCAATGTGGGAACTACACAGGGTGATATAGCAGAGCATTTCAAGATCACACAGCCAACAGTTTCTCCAATCCTACAGCATGCTGATATCATTTGGAAGTGAGTTGCATCATCCAAAGACCACACATCAAAGCAGCAGCATCAGGTCCTGTACCCAGAGATTGAATGTATGCTGGCACTATGGGTGCAGCAGATGGAAGTGGAGTGGATTGCAATCACAGGTGATGTGTTGCAGTCAAAGTGGAGGTGGTTTGCAGAGCAGGCAAAAATACTGAAAGAGAATTGGCTGCACTTGTCAGATGGATGGCTCACATCCTTCAAGCATTGGTATGGGTTGAAGGGTCATGTCATGCATGGAGATGTGGGAGGTGTTGATACAACAAAAGTCAAGGAGGCAAGGATTGAGCTGCAGAAGCTTATGGACCAGTATGCCCTACAAGATATTTTCAATATGGATGAGACTGGCCTGTTGTCAGGGCACCAGCTCATTGCTTGGTCAAGAGACATGACTAAGCCTTTATGACATGGAAGTAGCTGGTATACCTTGGCATGTGCTGGAACCTGCTGGAAGGATTGGATGGTCAGGTGACCTGCTGTGCATGGCTGTGCATGACCTCATATGACCTCATCCTTGGTCATATGACCTGATCACCTGACTAGGCTGAGTAAGCAAGATGTTATAGCAGGTTCCACCACAGAGGTATAAATATAAGGCCTACTCTGCCTGGGGACTGTCTCTTCAGACTTGGTCTCTTAGGATCATCCACAGGTACCTATACTGTAGATAGGTCTTAGTCATCAGGTCTACTCCACTTCCTTGTTGCCTGCTTAGACTCTTGGCACTCTTAGGTGAGCAGACTTAGTCAGCCTGTGTTGCCCTAACAGAAGACCAAGTCTCCAAGTGACA